TGGTCTTGTATGTCTTCCATATCCTAATAATTGCTCCCACAGTTGATTTCTTCAAACCAAGCTGCTTACCTATTGCAGATTCAGTCTTCCCAGCCTGGTGCAGGTCTACAATTTTGTTTCTGGTGTCCTTTGACAGCTCTTTGGTCTTGGCCATAGTGGAGTTTGGAGTGTGACTGTTTGAGGTTGTGGACAGGTCTTTTATACTGATAAAGTTCAAACAGGTGCCATTAATACAGGTAATGAGTGGAGGACAGAGGTGCCTCTTAAAGAAGAAGTTACAGGTCTGTGAGAACCAGAAATCTTGCTTGTTTGTAGGTGACCAAATACTTATTTTCCACCATAATTTGCAAATAAATTCATTAAAAATCCTACAATGTGATTTTCTGGTTTTTATTTTCTCAATTTGTCTGTCATAGTTGACGTGTACCTATGATGAAAATTACAGGCCTCTCTCATCTTTTTAAGTGGGACAACTTGCACAATTGGTGGCTGACTAAATACTTTTTTCCCCCACTGTATGTGGGAACTCCTTCAAGACTGTTGGAAAAGCATTCCAGGTGAAGCTGGTTGAGAGAATGCTAAGAGTGTGCAAAGCTGTCATCAAGGCAAAGGGTGGCTTTTTGAAGAATCTCAAATATAAAATATATTTTGATTTGTTTAACACTTTTTTGTAAACATGATTCCATATGTGTTATTTACATTTACATTTAGCGACTTACAGTTAGTGAGTGCATACATTTTTCATACTGGCCCCCCGTGGGAATTGAACCCACAACCCTGGCGTTGCAAGCGCCATGCTCAACCAACTGAGCTACAGGAGGAAATAACTGTTATTTCATTGTTTTGATGTATTCACTATCATTCTACAATGTAGAAAATAGTTTTAAAAAATAAAGAAAAACCCTTGAATGAGTAGGTGTTCTAAAACTTTTGACCGGTAGTGTGTGTGTGTGTATACAGTTGAAGTCGGAAGTTTACATACACATAGATTGGAGTCATTAAAACCACTCCACAAATATCTTGTTAACAAACTATCGTTTTGGCAAGTCCGTTAGGACATCTACTTTGTGCATGACACAAGTAATGTTTCCAACAATTGTTTACAGACAGATTATTTCACTTATTATTCACTGTATCACAATTCCAGTGGGTCAGAAGTTTACATACACTAAGTTGACTGTGCCTTTTAAACAGCTTGGAAAATTCCAGAAAATGATGTCATGGCTTTAGAAGCTTCTGATAGGCTAATTGACATCATTTGAGTCAATTGGAGGTGTACCTGTGGACGTATTTCAAGGCCTACCTTCAAACGCAGTCCCTCTTTGCTTGACATCATGGGAAAATTAAAATAAATCAGCCAAGACCTCAGAAAAAAACTTTTAGACCTCCACAAGTCTGGTTCATCCTTGGGAGCAATTTCCAAACGCCTGAAGGTACCACGTTCATCTGTACAAACAATAGTACGCAAGTATAAAAACCATGGGACCACGCAGCCGTCATACCGCTCAGGAAGGAGACGCGTTCTGCCTCCTAGAGATGAACGTACTTTGGTGCGAAAAGTGCAAATCAATCCCAGAACAACAGCAAAGGATCTTGTGAAGATGCTGGAGGAAACAGGTACAAAAGTATCTATATCCACAGTAAAGCGAGTCCTATATCGACATAACCTGAAAGGCCGCTCAGCAAGGAAGAAGCCACCGCTCCAAAACTACCATAAAAAAGCCAGACTATGGTTTGCAACTGCACATGGGGACAAAGATCATACTTTTTGGAGAAATGTCCTCTGGTCTGATGAAACCAAAATAGAACTGTTTGGCCATAATGACCATTATTATGTTTGGAGGAAAAAGGGGGACGCTTGCAAGCCGAAGAACACCATCCCAACCGTGCTGGGGGTGCTTTGCTGCAGGAGGGACTGGTGCACTTCACAAAATAGATGGCATCATGAGGAAGGAAAATTATGTGGATATATTGAAGCAACATCTCAAGACATCAGTCAGGAAGTTAAAGCTTGGTCGCAAATAGACCTTCCAAATGGACAATGACCCCAAGCATTCTTCCAATGTTGTGGCAAAATAGCTTAAGGACAACAAAGTCAAGGTATTGGAGTGGCCATCACAAAGCCCTTACCGCAATCCTATAGAAAATATGTGGGCAGAACTGAAAAAGCTTGTGCGAGCAAGGAGGCCTACAAACCTGACACAGTTACACCAGCTCTGTCAGGAGGAATGGGCCAAAATTCACCCAACTTATCGTGGGAAGCTTGTGGAAGGCTACCCAAAACGTTTGACCCAAGTTAAACAATTTAAAGGCAATGCTACCAAATACTAATTGAGTGTATGTAAACTTCTGACCCACTGGGAATGTGATGAAATAAATAAAAGCTGAAATAAATCCCTCTCTCAACTATTATTCTGACATTTCACATTCTTAAAATAAAGTGGTGATCCTAACTGACCTAAAACAGGGAATTTTTACTAGGATTAAATGTCAGGGATTGTGAAAAACTGAGTTTAAATGTATTTGGCTAAGGTGTATGTAAACTTCCGACTTCAACTGTGTATATGTATGTGTGTGTGTGTGTGTATATATATATATATATATATATATATATATATATATATATATATATATATATACATATATATATACATACAGTGAGGAGAAAAATGTATTTGATCTCCTGCTGATTTTGTACGTTTTCCCACTGACAAAGAAATGATCAGTCTATAATTTTAATGGTAGGTTTATTTGAACAGTGAGAGACAGAATAACAACAAAAAAATCCAGAAAAACGCATGTCAAAAATGTTATGAATTGATTTGCATTAAATGAGGGAAATAAGTATTTGACCCCCTCTCAATCAGAAAGATTTCTGGCTCCCAGGTGTCTTTTATACAGGTAACAAGCTGAGATTAGGAGCACACTCTTAAAGGGAGTGCTCCTAATCTCAGTTTGTTACCTGTATAAAATAAACCTGTCCACAGAAGCAATCAATCAATCCGATTCCAAACTCTCCACCATGGCCAAGACCAAAGAGCTCTCCAAGGATGTCAGGGACAAGATTGTAGACCTACACAAGGCTGGAATGGGCTACAAAACCATCGCCATGCAGTTTGGTGAGAAGGTGACAACAGTTGGTGTGATTATTCGCAAATGGAAGAAACACAAAAGAACTGTCAATCTCCCTTGGCCTGGGGCTCCATGCAAGATCTCACCTCGTGGAGTTGCAATGATCATGAGAACGGTGAGGAATCAGCCCAGAACTACACGGGAGGATTTTGTCAATGATCTCAAGGCAGTTGGGACTGAAATCCTGCTCAAGAAAGCACATATACAGGCCCGTCTGAAGTTTGCCAATGAACATCTGATTGATTCAGAGGAGAACTGGGTGAAAGTGTTGTGGTTAGATGAGACCAAAATCGAGCTGTTTGGCATCAACTCAACTCGCCATGTTTGGAGGAGGAGGAATGCTGCCTATGACCCCAAGAACACCATCCCCACTGTCAAACATGGAGGTGGAAACATTATGCTTTGGGGGTGTCAAAGGGACGATGTACCGTCAAATCTAGGGGTGAGAACCTCTTTCCCTCAGCCAGGGCATTGAAAATGGGTCCTGGATGGGTATTCCAGCATGACAATGACCCAAAACACACGGCCAAGGCAACAAAGGAGTGGCTCAAGAAGAGGCACATTAAGGTCCTGGAGTGGCCTAGCCAGTCTCCAGACCTTAATCCCATAGAAAATCTGTGGAGGGAGCTGAAGGTTCGAGTTGCCAAACGTCAGCCTCAAAACCTTAATGACTTGGAGAAGATCTGCAAAGAGGAATGGAACAAAATCCCTCTTGAGATGTGTGAAAACCTGGTGGCCAACTACAAGAAACGTCTGACCTCTGTGATTGCCAACAAGGTTTTTGCCACCAAGTACTAAGTCATGTTTTGCAGAGGGGTCAAATACTTATATCCCTCATTAAAATGCAAATCAATTTATAACATAACATTTTTTAACATGCGTTTTTTCTGGATTTTTTGTTGTTATTCTGTCTCTCACTGTTCAAATAAACCTACCATTAAAATTATAGACTGATCATGTCTTTGTCAGTGGGCAAACGTACAAAATCAGCAGGGGATCAAATACTTTTTTCCCTCACTGTGTATCAACCCTGGTCCCCTTGCCTTTATCCTCGGTCCATGCTCCCCCCACTCCTAAATTCCCAGTTTCCCTCTGTCCCATCCATGCTCCACTCTCTCCTTTTTGTTTGATTGTATACCCTTGTCTATCCATATTCCTCCATTTATTATTAATCCCTTATGCCTTTCTTCCTCCATCTCCCTCCCTTCTCTTCCCTTTATCCATGTTCCTCCTCTTCCCTTTGTTCTTCACTCATCTCTCTATCTATGCTCCCACTCGCTCTTCATGTAGTCTTGCTAGTTTCAATATCTACATCCCTTCCTTTCCCACCAGTTCATTCCTGACTCCTTCTTTCTCCCTCAGTCCTCTTTTCTCCTCTCCCCGTCCTCCTTCCCATCCCTCCTCTCTCCGCTGTCCCACTGAGGCCTATATCTCACTAGCTGCTGTCACAGTCCATTGTGCCATTGACAAAGAGCTGAGTCCACTCCAGTACGTAGCCCATTCAGAAGGCTCAGCAGTGCGTGAAACGGCCTCTCCGTCCGTTCCCATGCACCACAGAGACCAGCCACTGACACCAGAGATCTAGATCAAAGTCTAGCCAGAAATATTTTCTTACATGGTGTTACTCTGTCTAAATTGGGTTATTTTAGTAGAGGGTGATGGGTCTTGTTTGAAAGTTGTCTTTAACCAGTTAGTCTGTCTAATCAGAAGAGTGGAATACATTGAATTTTTCTCCACTGCTCCTCAGGTGCTTAACGTTCCCGTCAAGTTTGCTTGTTGACATGCGGACTTTCACATTAAATTCCATTCACTAACCATGAAATCTCTCTCTCCCCCCCTCCTCTGTTTTCTCACTTTCTTTCTCTCAGAGATGACCCTCCTGTCGACCCAGCCCAAGTCCCTGGAGTCAGCCCCGGTCTCTGCAGTGGCGGCCATCGAGGACCCCGAGCAGAGGATGCTGGAGAAAAGGTCAAAGGTCATAGAAGAGCTGCTGCAGACAGAGAAGGACTACATCAAGGACCTGCAGATGTGTGTCAAGGAGATTATCCAACCACTCCAACGCAATCAGGTACACACACACACACACACACAGAGTATGCACCCTATCATGTTGTTTACCAACTCATAGAACTAGTAGAAGAAAACAACTGACTACTTTAAAATGGAGATGGCCTCAATGGCGCTGCCCGTGTGCTCACAGTCGCCATAATGGGACTGATACAACATTGCGTTCTCTATCATTCTTTATGGATTTTACTGGTCAGCTTCGTAACATATTACACCCAAACTAAGACATATGACACTATTATAGACATTATAAGCTTCACAGAGTTTATGTATTGCACATCTAACTTAGAATTTATATACACGTACGCACGCACTATTAGTTAACCATAAGTCATTAGAAAGTGTTTACCCACGTGCCCAGAGACAACATATAAAAAAACGAATAATTCTGGCACATTTGCAGAGTTGTTGATTCATGTGCATTGTCCATGTTATAAAAGTTCGGTAAATATTTCTGTACCTCTGCTCATCCTAAAGGTGCAGAACATTGACTTTGACGGTCTCTTTGGCAACATCAACTCTGTGATCGACCTCTCACGTCGTCTCTTCAAGACCCTCCAGGACACTGACTCCATTGGTAATGCCAACCCTAGACTGTTTTTATTAGCAAACATCATGACTCAATTATTAGAATAACTTGAAAGATTCGCCTCCCACGTAGTCTGGCTGATACCCAACTCAAAGTCCTCCTGGAGAGGCTGTTTAGGCACGATGCGTCGATAATAAAGGGGTATTTGCTTTTACTGGTTGGTTCTCTTCTGTGTCTTTCTTACTCAAACACCCGCATGTACAGCCACACACAGCCCCCCGAGCGCTGCCCCCTTCCATTACAACTGTTGTATTTTCAAATCCAAACAATGAGGTCTCAACCCCCCCAGGGAAAAATAACATTTGAGAGAACCAATCGAAAATCTCTCAATTTCTAGGCGAAAATTGCATCAACAAATGTGGGTCACAGTGGGTCACAGCTCTCCCTCGCTGTGTACCACGTGGGTCGCGTCAGCCAGGCTTCCTCCCACTATGGCCATCACACACTTGACTTTGGGAGGTGCCGTTTGGTGGGACATGGTAGACTTAAAGAAATAATCCAGCTATGTTAATAAAAGTCCCAAACAAGAGTTTCCTTCTTAAGGTTTTTACATGACTTTCTTTAAAGGTAAGTTCATATTTTTTCAACCAAATATCTATTTTTGATGTAAATGGCATGTTATAGAAGGGTCCAGACATGTTTTGGCCGATTTCACAATGGAATATACTGCAGTGCAGTATATTCCATTGTGTTGGACTCTTGTGATACTTCTCTGTGTAGCCAGCACATGCATACACGGTAAAGTATCGCTCGAATCCAACACAATGGAATATAACATTGCGGGAAAAGTTTAGAATTACACAATTTAATGTGCAAAAAAATATAAAGACCTGCATCACTATACTGAGAGCGTTGCCATTTCTAAAATGACGTATTTGGGTGTTTTTGGAGCTTTTGTACATGTTTTATCCGTGCCCTGGTACTGCAGAATGAGCATGGGGATGTCTATCACTGGTTTGGGTAAGTTTCTCAAAACCAAGTGAAATCGCCCAAAACGTGTCTGGACTCTTCTATAACATGCCATTTACATCAAAAATAGAGATTTGGTTGAAGAAATATGAACTATACCTTTAAAGAATTGAGAAATGAGGAACAATAGAATGACAGAGTGGTATTGCTCCGTTGCGTTTCCCAGGAAAGGTGTTCCTGGACTTTAAGGCAGAGCTCGAGGAGGTGTACAAGATCTACTGTCAGAACCACGATGACGCCATCTCTCTCCTGGAAATGTATGAGAAGGACGAGAGCATCCAGAGACACGTGCTGGAGTGCCTGGAGAAACTCAGGTGACTACACACAAACAAAACAGAGCAGACTTAAAGCCTGAGAGAGAGAGACCACAGTCCCGTCCAGAAGCCCATACCACCTTGGGCAGATCTGAAAGAATTAGATAAGTGTAAGCAATATGGCCAAAAATTCCACCTGAGGGAACGGTAGAGCTACTACAACATTGCTTGAACCAATCCAATTCTTTCAGATCTACACAGGTGTCTAGGGGGTAGAGGCTAGTGTTTTTGGGGACAAGGCCAATGAGTGCTATGAGGTAAATTCCATTTTAATGCAATGCATTTGGGAGATAAATAGTCATTCCAATTAAGGTTTTAAAAGTAAAATGTTCAATTAGGAGTAAAAAATTAATAAATATGTAATTTAAATGTACTTCCTGATTTCACTGGAATGAACGACATTGACTCCAACCCTGCTCTCAACAATGTATAGTCCCTTCTTTTTTCCGTTTCCTCTCTTTCAAAATGCTGGATGCCAACCAGGATATGTTTTACCTACAGTAATTTCACATAAATATAGATGACGAAAAGGAGACGAGGAGAGGGACAGACTATTGAGATATACCTCATGGTTGCGTCTCAATTCTCTTACATAACCTCCTCCCATCCTTTCCATTGCTTTAGATTGAAACCTGTTTTTTAGTTTACCAGCAACCATGAATGAAAGGGCACAAGTAAAGGGAGTTATATTCAAAATAAAACTGTGACATACTAAAACAAAGCATTGTTTATTGAGACATGGTACTATTATGACTTGCATGTGAATTGATAGAGAAACCTTACTCACCCTTCTGCAATGAGTGGCTTTTGTGTGTGGGCCTGTCTACTAGTGACATCTAACATCTAGAAAGAAAATCAACATTGACCTTATGCATGCACCATGTTCTTGAAAACTGATTGTAATCGAAACTGTGTTGTTATCATAGAAATCTCATTCAGAGGTTGAAAGATGGAATACTTTGTGCTGGGTTTTTTGAATTACGGAGTAGTATAGCCTGATCATTCTCCCCCATAGACAACCTGTAGTTGCCTGACGACTCATCTTGAATTTAATTTCACTGCTCTATTGATCGCTCCATACATTGTCTGAAACTGCAATCCTATACGTTTTTTGTCCTGACGTCAAAATGAGGTCCGTTGTCCAAAACAAATGAATCAGCGATTAGATCGTCTCGAACCAATCAGAGTATCAAAGCCAATTTCATGATTCATGAAGGCCGGATCAGAATGGTCAAAATGTGTTGTAAGATGCCGGGGAGGAAAGCAAATCCAGACTCATCGTGGAGAAGAAACGCTAGTGGGCGTGGTGTTTGGCCGGAGCGATATGGATGGGTAGTCAGACCTATAGTGCCTTCAGAAGAGATTTTTTAAAGCCACTAAATATCTTCTGAACGAACTTCTAGTTTTTATTTTGTTGTGGTCCCCTATTTGCATAATGCTAGATAGAGAGTTACAAGCAAATCAGTGCTGTAGTCCGACTCGAGTCCCAATATTCGTGACTTGGACTCGACCATTGGTGACTCTGACTCGCCTTCTCGTGACTTGTATTTTGCACTTAGACTGGATAGGCTATGAACAGAATATTAGCAGTGCTGCAAGGGTTATGTTCTGTTCAGCAGTGGGAAGGACGCACCTGGTGAGCTGCGGGGGTAGCAAGCGATAAATGTGGGCAGACAGGCAGGCTCCGCTCTGCTCTGGCTCCGCCTCCGCCTCCGATCATACACATCGTGCAAGCGACTCTTGCTTCCCCGTAACCAGTCACCAGCCTACTATTTAGCTAGCCTTTGCCTGGTTAAGAAACGCACAGCTGCTTTACAAAATTAAAAACAGTAGTATTGAGTTTAACAGTAAAACAGTCTAGGTATGTTGTCTCTCTCTCCCCCTTGAGTATAGTTTATATAGTTCTTGCTCTACCCTCCCTCTTTCACCACTGCTTCCAATGTTCTGACAAGTCTCCCCCTTTACTTTTCACTCTGCAATAAAAACCTACACAAATATCAGTGGGCATTTACAAAAAAAAATCTGAGAGCCTGTTACAATAATTGCAAATAGAAGACTCTAGCCGAACTGACAGGAGCAATAGCTAATTCCTTCTGGAGACCATTCATTCACTATTGAACTAATATTTATATAAAATATGTGTGTGAGCCTGTGTATGAAGTACTTAGTAGTTTCATAGGCTATTGCATATTGCAAGCAATTATGACCATTGGGCAATAGGAGGAAAATCTTTGCATTACTTCAATGTAGCTAGATTCTCGCCTCTATTGATTTGGTCATGCTAGAAGAAATCTGCCTAGCAACTAACAATGTTATACATGACTTGTTTTAAATTAATCTGAGTCGAGTGGAGCTACTTTGTCATGCTTCCATACTTGGAACTCATCTTGAGCATAGGCATTGAGATAATTTGGCTTTATATCACACATACACACACACGCACGCACACCATGTATGAGTAGTCCAATGCGTGGGATGTCCTTTCTGTCCCAGTACATTTGAATCATGTGGAGTTAGTTGAAGAATGTGCCATGCCTAGTTTCACCTCTCCAGTCTGGTTTCACCCAGTATTTCAGCAGAGACTAGGGCTAACACCATTTTGTTTATCCACTAGTGTGCTGGTGTGGGCTTTGTTTGAAGAGAGATACTATGCGTCGATTTAAACAAAAAGGGCCTGAGCAACGCGTTCTGTTTTCAACTTGGCTCAACTTTCTTCACAATTGCCTAGAATACATGTAGTAAGAAAGCTTGATGTACAAGTACACACCCTGAAATGCAGGGCCTTACCTAGGGCTGTTGCTGTGACCATATTACCGCCACACTGACAGTCATGAGTCATATCCGCAGTCAAATTCCACGTGACCGTTGAGTCATGTTAATCCCCTTTTATGCACTCTGGACATGCGTTGATAGTACCTGACCATCAGGTCGCTAACGACCTGGTACTCAGGGCTCTATTGTCCCTCTAACCACTCTGACATCAATGCAAATGCAATCGACAATCACATCAAACAATTATCATCAAAACAGTATCATGCTTTTAAATCTCACCATTAGGCTACATTTTCTGACCTCACTAACCACGTTTCTATCCCACCATTTCATGCGGATGAATTACCTGATGCATGAAAAAAGTCACGACCGGGTTAATGGAAACAGGAAATGCCGGGGCAATTTTATAAATGCCGACAGACAATTTGTTCGTTCAACATGGTAGGATCTTTTTGTGTCTGTAAAATTAATTATGCGAGAAATGGTGATGGAAACGCCTTAATATTGATATAATAACCATCATATCGAAGTAAACTTGGAGTCATGATATGTTGTGTGGTCCTACCACAATGACTCGGGAAAGCATGCAGTTTATTAGGCTACATATGAAATAAGTTATGGTGAACTTCACAGGTTGGTATATGTGAGCTTGATGCTCCTTTCCAAGAAATATCAAGGGTCTTATTCTGGTGACATGATGATCGATGCTTGGCTGCCGTTTGACAAATGCAAATAATATCGCTCTTATCCATAATAATCTCATAATGTAGGTAGCCTACCCACTCTGTATCTGCCAGCTGTTGGCTAGAGCGCACATGCCAAGGCTGGAGTGGGCACATTCGCTATATAATGCAACAGTTTTTGTGACAAAACCACCAGTAAAGTTGGGGAAAAAATTGGAATTTAACGGTAAAAGTCATTTTTATGTGCACTACGTCATCATGCACAGCCTTTTATCCACAAAAAGTATGTTTGATGGAAACATCTCTGGAGGGAAAATGCATATTGTTTTATGCAGATTTTTTAAATATTAGCATGAAAATCTGTCGCAAATTAGATGGAAGCCTAGCTACTGTGATGATCAATTTGAAGAAAGAAGTTCAACAATAGGTTGCAACTGAGTGGAAAACATGGTCATTGTGGATGTTGTTTCAAAGCAAAACACAACTAAATGGACAGAGCTTCAAAGGTAATGATTCATTCGGTAACACTTTACTTGACACCCAGCGTCATAACACATTATGACATGGTCATAACCATGTCATAAGTTTACATAACTTGTCATAACCTGTTATAATATGGACATAACTGTCATGACACATATATTTAGATCTGGTTATGACACCTACATAAGAGTTTCAAACCCACAAAACCTACAACACAAGGTAAAACATTCCATTACACCATAGCCTACGTGTCAACATTATGTTTTGAAATTGAAATTGACCATATTAAATTATTATTGTAATTATGCACACATTGATGTCAGACATGCACCTGCCCAAATGATCTGTTGCTGATGACTGGGATGAATGCAGGAGAAGATTTCAGGAGCACCCACTTTTTGATTGATGACTGATGTGTGCGTGCGTGCACAGGCACACGTGCGTGTCCGGGATACACAGAGGAGTGACATGTCATATATTGCTTGTCTAAAGAGCTTTATAGGGCCCCAGGCAGGGTTTTAGAGGACTCTCAAAATAAAGGTACTGCAACTTGTGCTACGACAACAGCCGCTGCTATAGCATTGGAAAGTTTATTAACTCTAACTTGGATTCATGGATTTCTACAGTTGAACTACGACCTTTAACTCTCTTAAAATTAGCACTCCAGGCTGAAGTTTCCCCTAGGTACAGATCTAGGATCAGCTTTCCTTCCCCCAATCCAAACCTTAACCATTAGTGAGGGAAATGGAAAACTGACCCAAGATCAGCATCTAGGGGCAACTTTACCCTACACCCAAACTTGGCACTACAGTATATGTTACAAGGGGATTAGAAAAGTGTATCCTCTCATAATTGAGTGTAGGATAGAAATGTATATTGACTTACATTTAATGTAGTGTATTTTGTTCAAGATTTCAGTGGATTCGACAAACTGCAGGTTGTATGACCACCTTGTACAGTTTACTGCTGTGCTTCCTAAGCTTTTTTGTGTGATCCTCCCAAAGCCTGGAATGTAGCTGTGGACCTTCAGATGAACAATACCAATTTTACTATCACAGCG